ACAAGATGGCTATCAGCCGGCTCTGGAAGATACCTCCTTCTTTATTCATGTCTCTCCCCAAAAGAGCATTTTTCCACGAACCTTCTCTTGGAGGGCAAGGAAACTTCTTCTCCAAATACTTTTGGTAAATTTCCCTTTTAGTATCTTTTTCTTTTTTTTAACATTAAAAAAAATCTTTTTTTTTTTTTAGAGACATGATTATGTTCATGCCACCCATGCTGAATATTTAAATTTAAATCACAGACATTTCTTTACTGTCTGTTATCAACTCCACAGCTAAAGATGGAGCCGTTTCTCTGTGCCAGGCTCTGCAGTAGCTGAGGCCAAGACCAAGGCCCTGAAGCCAAGACCGTTTTGCTAAGAGGCCAAAACCAAGTCCCTGCAGTGGCTTATGTGGAGGCCCCACATAGCCTGGCTCCCGTCAGCCTCTGACTCTAGCTCCTGTCTCTCCCCCTTGATCACCTGCTATAACCACACTGGCCTCATCTCTGTCCTTCTCATATCCGGATCTTTGCCCTCTCTGTTCCTTCTACCTGGAAGGACTTTTCCCCATAATCCACCTGGCTCACTCCTCCACCTCCATTTGCCTTAGTACTTCTTCACATAATAGACTACATAACTAGGTATTTAGCTTTTTATCTTGTTTCCTCTCCCCCTGCTGGCTTGTAAACTGTGAGGACAGATACATTGATCTAGCTTGGGTCTTGTTGTATCTCAGTGCCTGGATCAGTGTCTGACATGGTAGGCTTTTTTAAAGAGACTTTTTAAATAGCTGAACATGGGCCACTAGAAGGATTAATATTATCCTGAAAATCACCTTCTTGTCTTTATTAGACATCAATATTTATCCTTTTGTTATATAACTTTGATCAGATTTCTTATGAACTTGATTATAGAGAGCATAAGTACACCTTGTCTCCAAATTAAATGACAAAGCATTTTGTATTAGCTGATGGTGGTGGATACAGTGACCATGACCCCACAGTTTGTGAGTTCAAGCCCCACGTTGGGCTCTATGCTGATAGCTTGGAGCCTGGAACCCACTTCAGATTCTGTATCCCCCCCTCTCTCTGCCCCTCCCTGTTCACACACACACACACACACACACACACACTCTCTCTCTCTCTCTCTCTCTCTCTCTCAAAAGTATATAAACATTAAAAAAAAAACGGAAAGAAACCCTGCTAGCAGAGAAGACGGTGGGCTAATGTCCCAAAGAGCCCTCTTACCACTTCCTGCAGGCAAAGGATTTTAAGGGGGAAAGGAAGGAAAAAGAAGCCTCGAAGTTTAAGCAAATACAATCAAAGGTTAATTCTAAATTCTGGAGGAAATTGTAGTCTCTAGTTATGGGCTTCTCTGTGTGACTTGAGTAAGTCCTTGGTTTGAACCACTTGGTTGTCACCTGCTTTGGGGTGGTGTCAGTTATATTCTTTAAGGTCCTTATAGAGCTTTAAACAATATTGATTATTACCTTGGTTACTGTTTAAGCTTTAGACTGTGCATGAGAGTTACATATGAACATACTTTGCTCCGTGTTGTGGGTTGGGGTTTCTCTTATATAGATTACCTTTACTTTCAAACAAATCAAGGCAGAAGAGGAGTGGGGGAGAGCTTCAAAGAGGCAATAGTCCTGAGACAGAACAGGGACAGGACGTGGGTCCCCTCAATCCTGACACCCAGCATTCCTTGATTGCAGAAACTCTATGCCCCTTGAATAGCATATCTTTCAAGAACGTGCAAGCAGGATGCTTATCAAAGAGGGGAGTTGGCTAGGAAGGTGGTGAAGACCCAACCAAACCAATCTGTGCCAGGGTAGTCCCCAAGATTGACTTTTCACCAACACTCCCCATCATTATAATACTGAGAATCACACCCAAGGGTGAAGATTTAACGTGCTAACGAGACATGCAGTGCCTGACGAAGCATGTTCTGACCACCGCACCTCCCCTGCAGGGCCTGAAGGACCTTTTCTTTTGTGCCATCTTCTTGACGCTGGAGCATAAGCCCCAAGAAAAGCCTTGCCTGAGACTCCCCTGTCACAAGCACGCTATGAAAGCACACAAGCAAGTGTGTCTTTCCACAGTGACAACTTCATTCCGTCATAATGCAAGGTTAACACAATTCTAAACCAGCCTCAGGATTCCCAACTCGATGACGTTTCACTACATGCTTAACTTGGCTTCTTATGCATCTCACAAAACAAAGCACAGGACAAGTTACACAATAAACAAGATACAACAAGGGGTGGGAAGTGAATGAACCAAACGTGAAGTCGTCCGTGGGCGTGCAGTTGGGATGATGCCTCTGTCAGGTCCTTGCTGCTTAGAACGTCCAAGCAGTGACTAGAATCTGTCGTAGTCTCTAAGTCTGAAGTTCTCTCTTGTCCAGCAAGAGAGCTGATGCAGGGTTAAAATAAGAGAGATGGCTAATGTCCAGGAAAAGACAAGAACCCCGAATAAGGGCCTTTCCCCCGTATTTATTAAGATCAGAAGGCTTACAAACATGATGGGCATGCACAAAGAGACATTGAATCTGTGAACATTAACTCATGGGCATGAGGGAAAGGGGGTTTTGAAGATATGTGGTGTTTGGGGTTTGGGTCAATACAAAACAAAATCCTGGCACTGGGCAGATGGACAGATGGTTGTTAATGGCAGACAGGAGGTGCCGTGTCTGTTTATCTTAGCTAGTCTAGGGGAGAAGACAGGTAGAGCATGTAACCTCAGAGTTAACAAGGCACCTTCCTGTTGCTAGTCAGCTCCTCTCTGGGCAGCTTTGCCCTCAGCACCGGGATCTATAGCTCTATTTACCTGTTTGCCTAATTTGGTCCTTCCTTCCTGTGAAAGGAGCTTTCTGTTATAGTACTAAATTGGGGGGTGCTTTCGCTCTGAATGCCTAATCTTGCTTACCTCATATACCTTTGTATTGGGGGTCTTTGTTCCCCCCTCTACTCTGGGGGCCCTTGTCCCTTCCCCTACCCTATTCTGGGGGCAAAGCTCTATCTTGGTGGCCTAATTCGTTTACCCAAGCTTGGGTGTGAGCATCCTACGGTTTTATAATTCTTTATGCCTTGTTAACTCACTGGTGCAAGGCCAGGGAATTCCTAAGCTTATTCCCCACAAGAATCTCTGTTACATTTAGAGATCAATCATGTAAAGCTTTTGGCTACAGTTGCCTTTTTTTAAGGCTTATTTATTTTGAGAAAAAGACAATTCGAGTGGGAAGGGTGGGGGAGGGAGGGAGGGGGAGAGAATCCCAAGCAGGCTCTCTGCTGTCAGTGCAGAGTCCAATGCGGGGCTCGAAATGGCAAAAACGTGAGATCGTGACCTGAGCTGAAACTAAGAGTCGGATGCTTAACCGACTGAGCCACCCAAGCGCTCCTTTTTAAAAAATTTTTTTTTAATTTTTTAAATGTTTATTTATTTTTGAGAGATACAGAACACAAGTTGGGGAAGGGTAGAGAGAGGAAGACAGAATCTGAAGCAGGCTCCAGGCTTGGGGATGTCAGCACAAAGCCTGACACGGGACTCAAAAAAAAAATTTTTTTTTTAATATTTTTTATTTATTTCTAGGAGAGAGAGAGACAGCGTGAGCAGGGGAGGGTCAGAGAGAGAGGGAGTCACAGACTGAAACAGGCTCCAGGCTCTGAGTGTTGCAGGATTCTCGCTCAGAGAGTCATGACACCGAGACTTTTCTTTCCAGGAAGCAACTTTATTTTGCCGGCACCGCTCAGTTGGGTTCGTACCCAAAAGAACTGAGCGGCCACATCATATGGCATAGGGGTTTTTTATGCATTTTCTATTTCTTTGTCTCCTGTATATGGTAATACACATAAACATGTAGTCTGATTAAGTTGTTTCAGTTTACAAGAACATGGGGGATGTAGGCAGCTGGACTCATATCTAGGTGACCTTGAAGTCTTCTCTCCTCTCTTCTTCATTTTTTTTCTTTCTCCTTAGGGAGGGGTTCCTACCACATGAGCTGGCAGTCAGCACAGAGCCCAACGTGGGGCCCGAACCCATGAACCACGAGATCATGACCTAAGCGAAAGTCGGATGCTTAACCGACTAAGCCACCCAGGCGCCCCTCAAAAAAAATTTTTTTAAACATTATTTATTTTTGAAAGACAGAGAGATAAAAAAAAAAGTCTCTCTTTATTAAAGGGATTTGATCAGTCTTGGACTTTGGTGAGTAGGGAAAAGGTTAACATCAGGCAGGGATGGATAAGAGACCCTAGCGGAGGCAGGCTGTGGCTGCCAGTGGGAGGCTGAAGAAGCAGTGGGGTTTGGAAAAAATAAAATGGATGAACGTATTCCAGACCTGCCTGGGCTAGGTGCCACAAATGGGGTCTCACGCACTTTCTGGTAAGGTCCCGATAAAAAGTCAGGGACAAAAATCTTCAGTGGTTACCCCTTAGCCAGGAGCCCCCTCACACTTGAGAGTTTGGCCTTTCTCTCAGTAAATCCCATTGCTTTGCTCACTCTCTGTTGTGAGCATCCCTGGACTCCGTGGGACAGGGACCAGCGTCTCCCANAAGGCCACAGCTGAACACGGGCTTGGCTGCTGTCTGACTTGCTGAGTGGGACCTGGGAGTGGAACGGGATTAAGTTTCTGCTCTAGACTTAGCAGCCTTTCTCTCAGTAAATCCCATTGCTTTTCCCCCCCCCCCTCCCGCCCATCCCCGCCCCCCGCGGCCCCGGCCCCCCCCCCCCCCCCCCCCCCCCTCCTCCCCCGCCCCCTCCCGGTCCTGTACCACTGGCCGACCTTCCAGCTCTGACACCTGGTCGGAGCTGCAGCACACTTGGCTGTTCACACATCACTGCTTTACACGAATGACCACTGCATCTTGCTCTCTACCTCCGGTTTGGCGCTCCCTTCCTGCAGACACACAACGTCTATTGCTTGGCAAGCCCCAAAGCCTAACAGTTCTAGTTTCATTTTCCAGCAAAAATGAAACCTATCTCATTGGCTGTGACTCAGTCATAAGGGAGTGTGTTGTAAATATCCAGAGTCAGAGCTTCTGGAAACACATCCAAGATTCCGAGCTCAGACTTCTGAATTCAAGACACATTTTGAGAAAATTTGCTTCTGGGTAAGACGGGGAGGGAGGAGGGCGGGGGTTGCTCTTTCCCACAGTCTCCAACCTCAGGTGGGCAGGGGGCCTCTGTGAGTGCGAAGGAAGCTCTCCTGGATGCATTTGCAGAATGTTCTTTTGCTTATCATTATGGCAGCTGTGGTGGGGGGGGGGGGTGAAGGGACTCCAGCACACAGGGCCCCTGGGCTCTGGGGCTCTGGGACAATGAGCCTTGTTCGAGCCTGGGTAGAAATCAGCTGAGCAGGGGAAAAAGACAAGCATCAGGAGGAACCGAATTGGAGCCGTTCCAAGCCCAGCTGGACTTGGGGCAAATCACTTGTCAGCTCTGTGGCAGAGGTGTGTCATCATCTATAAAAGGGGGATCATAATATCTTTTTTCTCATCATCTTAAGTGAGGATATGACGTGAGAACAGAAACCCAGAGCAACCTGACTACAGTATATGCCTTAAGGCATAATGGGTTCTTATTTCCTAATTCCGGTATCTTTTAAACTGCTCTGCGCAGATTTAGGAAAGTCTCAGGAGTAGCTGAGACATTGGTGCTGGGGTTTTGGGGAGGAAGGAGGCAGCCTGCTTGGAGAAATAAAGTCCACTCCCCAGCCTCCCTTAACCCTTTCCAGGCTGCTGCCTGGTGGAGTTTGTAAGTGATAGTGGCCCAGAACTGATGGCCAAGAAAGAATTCTTGAAGACATCTTTGGTGCAAAAAGACGATTTTATTAAAGCACAGGGACAGGACCCGTGAGCAGAAAGAGCTGCGCTAGGCTGGGCTTGTGAGGAGTGACTGGTTATATACTACAGAGTTGGGGCAGATAAAGTCAAGAGACAGTTTCTTTTAAAAAAACTTTTTACTGTTTATTTATTTTTGAGAAAGAGAGAGAGGCAGGGAGGGGCAGAGAGAGAGAGGGAGCCATAGAATCCGAAGGAGGCTCCAGGCTCTGAGCTGTCAGCATAGAGCCCAACCAGGCCTCAAAGTCAAGGTAAGATCATGAGATGAGCTGAAGTCTGAAGCTTAACCAACTGAGCCACCCAGGTGCCCCACAGGGGAGTTTCTTAAAAGGATTTCCATATGCGGAAGAAGACTCACAGATTACTGGGAGGAAGTGGGGGCGGGGGGGGGGGGAGGCCTAGCTGTTGTCAAGCTAAGGTTGTTTTTCTCTCTAGCAAAGCATTAGCATTAAGACAGTAAGGAGTTCCTGGAGATTAGGCTATTAATAAACTTGCCCTTTTCTCATAATATTACTAAGATATTTGTAAACTGATGGAGACTCAATTAGTTTAACCATTTGTTTTCTGTCCTTTCCTTTGTTCTTGGGCAGCTGGGAGTGCCTGGGGAATATCACACAGAGCCCACCTGGGGGCAGTTCGCGGGGTGTTAGCTTGCCTTATGCTCCCTTATCACTGCCCTTAGAAGCTCAGAACAGCCCCTGAGGACCGCTTGAACCCCTTGAATTTTCAAGGCTACAGGCATACCTCTAGTTCTGGGGTTCCCCTCCCCCATCCAACGACACCCTGTTAAAAACCAACAACAGCATACCAAGACTTAATTACAATTTCAACCTCTCCCAGGAATGTGACCTTTTAAAAGTCCCTCTGTCCTTCCTGATCAGCCCTAGTGAGAACATCTGCGTGGTACCCTGATGTTCCCTTCACCCTGAAAAGGTTCTTTTCACCCTGAAAAGAAAGTGAAAGGGTCCTGGCCTGAAAGAATCCTTTCTTTTCTTTTGCTAGTGACGACGTCTTGCCTCACTCTCCTTGCAGGAAAGCCTCCATTTTTGTGCAGTTTCTCAGAGCACCTCTCCACTTGCTAGATGGGCTGTTGCCCTGGCAGCCAGGGAGCAGGGGTTCAAGAGCACCTGGCTTGGGGGAGGGGTTCAAACAGACCTGCTTGGCCACTTGCCACTGACAAAATTCAAAGGCAGAGAGACTAGCAGTGGAGAAACAAGAAAGGGATTTATTTCAATGAGGCCACCACCAGCAGGAAGACAGTGAACCTCTGTCCCAAAGGCCGTCTCCAAAGTGCCAAAATACTTCAAGGTTTAGAAATGGAAAATGTGGGACAAAGTCTGTGTGAGGACTGCGGATGGGCAGTAAAGGTCAGGTCTTCACTGTCTTGGGGTCAGTCCTGGGGTCTCTCCTGCTGGAAGGGATTGTTTCCGGTTCTCACAGCAGGATGCTTGGCCCACAGCCTCCTGCCCGAGGTGAAAGTGAAAGCTAAGCTGTCGGGGCGCCTGGGTGGCTCCATCCATTAAGTGTCCAACTTCAGCTCAAGTCATGATCTCATGGTTCGTGGGTTCCAGCCCCTTGTCAGTCTCTGTGCTGACAGCTTGGAGCCTGGAGCTGCTTCAGATTCTGTCTCTCTCTCTCTCTCTCTCTCTCTGCCTCTCTCCTGCTCACGCTCTGTCTCCCTCTCTCAAAAATAAACATTAAAAAAAAGTTAAAAACAAAGAAAGATAAGCTGTAAAGAGGAACCTAACTAATGAGAAAGGAAAAGCTGAGGTCAAAATAGAGGTAATTGAAGTCCCTTCAGGCGGATAGGTTTGCTTAATAAACAGTTAGATCTTCAAATGTACTTGGGTTGAATTTTGTGGTTTACCAACCCTCTCAGCAGATTTGAATCTGGTGGGTGCTTGTCACTCTCTGTGCCATGGAAGTCGTCCAAATAGCCAGCTTAGCCTCTTCCCTGGCTTCTAAGATGATGGCATCCAAGATGATGGCGGTGAGCCTGGCCAAGGCCACCTTGGCGGCATGCGGCAGTACCCTCGCTGGACTTCCGTCCACAGGTGAGTGTTCTGGAAGAAGCTGGTGGTGAGCAAGGAGATAGGCAGGGAGGGACCAAGTCCATCTCTGGCTTTACCTCCTTTAGGTTTTGACCTATGTGTCCAATCAGCCTTTCATAACAGTTTAACACCTCCCTGTGGGGGCTCAGAGCCAGAGGATTGATTTTAACAAAATTCTTCAGTTTGGGTTCGTTTACTTCATTAGTTTGAGTGAGCTCTCTCTCCAGTCTTAGCTATTTATTCTTGCTATTTATTTTCCCTTTAGCCTCTGTTATATAACAAAAATTGAACTGAGTACATTTTAATAGAATTGTTAAAAGTTTACTTATTTACTTTGCACACACGCAAAAGAGCCAACATACGTGTGGGGGGGGGGGGCGGTGGGTAGAGAGAGAAAGAATCCCAAGCAGGCTTCGTGCTGTCAGCACAGATCCCAATGGGGGACTCGATCTCACAAACTCCTGAGATCATGACCTGAGCTGAAACTAAGAGTCCAACATTTAACTGCTTAACCACCGGGCCACCTAGGCACCGCCAAACAAGTACATTTTAAATATCTGATTGGCTTTATTACGAGTCAGTTCATGAATTTGGCAACATCCCAATTAGCAAGTCTATAGAAAATTAAAAGTTCTTAAAGGCAGAGAGAGAGCAGAAAAAACATTATTAGCAGAGAATCCATTGCTTTAGGCAGGGTAGCCCTCCTAAGGGGAGTGGAAGGGACCCATCAGTAAATTTCCTAGTGCTCTCCATGAAATCCCCATGTTGACCAGCTCAGGGTTATATTCCTGGGGGATCGAAACTCCAGTCAGGTTAGGTATTAGGTCTTGGCTCACACTTGGGGCTTTAATCTAAGCGATGCCATTCTGGGTCTATGGTTTTCTTTTTAACCCCCTCCCCTGCCAATAACTCCCTCCCTCAAAGTCAACCTTTCTAACATGCCCAGTGTGTATCTGTTTGTCATACTGTATATATTTTTGCAAATGGGTGTTGGCTTTTTGTCGGCAAGTTTAATTTGTATACAGAGTAGTGCATTGCTGACCTCACTCTATTGTCTTTTCTGCACTGAGAACCATGTGTTTGAAACTGTCAGTGTCAGCAGGTGAGTATCTAATACTTGCTTCCACTTCTTGCAAAGTGCTCCTGTGTGCATCCTCAGCCGCACTGTTGCCTACCTTTCCCTCTCCTGGGGTGGGCGCTGGGTGCTCCCACCTTCCCCAGCACAACCAGCAGCATAGGATGGAATGGGGAGGACCGGGTCTCTGACCACTGCCGACCTCTGACCTCTGACCCTGTGCATTCACCCTCTGTTCTTCCTCAGGACTCACCTTGTCGTCCACCACCGCTGCCCTGAGCCAGGCCACAGCTTCCCTGGGATCCCTGCTGGGGACACTGAGTGGCCCCTCCCTGGTGGGATCCCCAGCTTCGGCCATGATTATTTCCCCACTCGGAGGTAACTGGACCTGGGGAGCAAACCCTCCTTTTGGGGCCCCCACTCACTGCATGGAAACATGACAAGGAACAGGACCTGGGCCATAGCCAGCAGCCCTCCCTGTTTGCCAGAAATATAAAGACTCCCGAGCTCAAGATAAGCAGTCCATGAAATAATAACAGCTAGATTTTAGCAGATGCTGTGCCTTCCTACTCTCCATGCTTAACGCTTAACATTTATAATTGGTTTAATTGTCATAACAATCGCAGAGGAAGATAACCCCGTCCCTCTTGTACAAATGACGAATGTTGGCCAAGAGCCCTGGACAGGGAGGTGGGGTCACTCCCAAGCCTGGGACAGGAGGTAGAATCAAAACTCAGATCTGGTCTGGGGAGGAGGCATAGGGTGGGTCGGGCTCTGGAAGGAAGGGGCCACCCTCCCCAGGGATGACAAGTCGGGGCGCCCAGTAGTGGGCTAACCAAACACACAGGACCCATTTCCTATGGGCCTTCTGTGTACGTAGGAGCCCAGGGAGCCCAAGCTCCCGGCCAGCTCGGCGTCACCTGTCCTGACAAACAATACAGTCAAATAGCAAATACCTTCTAACTGGGCTTTTTAAAAAAAAATTTAGGGGCGCCTGAGTGGCTCAGTCAGTTAAACGACTGACTTCGGTTCAGGTCATGATCTCACAGTTTGTGAGTTCGAGCCCTGTGTCAGGCTCTATGCTGATGGCTTGGAGCCTAGAGCCTGCTTCAGATTCTGTCTCTCCCTCTCTCTGGCCGTACCCAACTTGTGCTCTGTCTCTCAGAAGTAAATAAATGTAAAAAAATATTTTTAATTATTTAAAATAGTTTTTTAAGTTTATTTATTTTGAGAGAGACAGAGAGAGCACACAAGCAGTGAGGAAGGGCAGAGGGGGAAGGAGAATCCCAAGCAGGTTCCACATGGTCAGCCCAGAGCCCGATGAGGGGTTTGAACTCATAAAAACGTGAGATCATTACCTGAGCCAAAATCAAGAGTTAGACGCTTAACTCCCTGAGCTTCTTAGGCGCCCCTCTAACCGGGCTTTTGATTCTTGAGTCACTGACTCCATACCCCACCCCAGGTGGCCCCTCTGGTCACCCAGGGTTTTGCTCAGTTTCCTGACAACCACCAGGGCCTCAAGTATTCCTCAGTCACTGTTAAGGGGCGTGGCCATAGCATGCCTGGGTTTCCACATCTGTAGGCTTTTGTTTGGTTTTGTTTGAAACGAACCAGACTTACAAGGCAGAGAGAAAGAAAAGGGTCTGATCACCCCACAAACAGCCAACCAACCAATCCACAGGCAGATTAAAACACACAGACACACACACACACACACACACACACACACACACACAGCAAAAACCGTATGTGATAATTGGGTTTTCTGAAACGAGGACTTCGAAGCCTGTCTCCAGATAACTTGAGGTCAAGGCATGCAATTCCCTCCGGGACAAGTCATTTGCCTCTGGAATCGGATTCCCCAGCAATCCTCACCAAGTTCAGGGCTGTGGGGGCCACCTCCCCAAGAATTCCCGCTTGTCCAAGTGAAGCAGGGAGGGGGTTGGGTGCAGTCATTTCCTCCCGTCTCCCAAACATGGCAGCGACCTTCCCATAGGTGGGCTGTAGGCTCAGGGAGTGAAGGGGAGGCCAGTGTGGATCCACTCACAACATGTTCTTTTGGTTTCTAGCCAAGGTTGCTGTGGCTGTGACAGGAGGAGGTGAGTGTCTGCAGGGAAGAGTTTCAAGTCCTTATCCACCCCCCACCCCAAGGACATGGGGAGCAACTATCCTCATCCAGGCCCAGGTTTGCCTCGGCCTCACGTAGATGGTGGAAGAGGAAGTGGATTGGTGGAGATGGGCAGGAAGCAAGGAACTGGAAACAGGAAATGAAGAGTCTTGTGGGAACTCCACAGGGACGCAGTCCCAGCAGGGGCCCAATGGCCTCTTTGCAGGGCATTCGCTGTGTGACCTTGGGCGAGTCTTTGAGCTCCTCTGGGCTCCCCTTTCCTCTTGTGAAAAATCGGCCAATATTGTCCATTCAGGGTTATTGTGAGAGCTGCCTAGGATGAGATGTGCAGAGTTTGAATGCAGCAGGTGCACTGAAGAGAAGTCATGGACTTGGGGACCCTGGGTTTGGGGGCTTTTGATTGCTCTGTGGCGATGCCCTGGACCCCCAGAGTTGGGATGGAAGCAGAGCTTGGAACATGCTCCTTACTTACCCTAATCCTCTGAATAAGATTTACTGGAAATAAAGATTTCCTCTTCAAAGATAGGAAGCTTGCACACCACTCCTTCCTTCCGGCATCTCACAAAGGCAGAATCCGAGGCCCAGAGGACAAGTGACTTTCCCAAGGAAGGTCCTGCTGCAGATCAGAGCCCACGGGACCCACAGCCCGGTTCCTAGTGACCCCACAAGCCCTTCCGCCCCTTCCCCACCCTCCCCCAGCTGTGCTCCTCCTGACCCATGACTGCTGGCCATGCCCATAGTCTCTCCTGAGCTCAGAGTTCACCTCTTTTTTCCAGACCCCCTGAAGACCCCTAAGCCTGACTGAGTGCGTATGAGGGTCCCTTCCCCTGAGCCCTTCTCTCAACGCATCTCCTCTTCCCCGCAGTCGTGGCCGTGGGGGCCGTGCCCGTGGTGCTGGGAGCCATGGGCTTCACCGGGGCGGGCATCACCGCCTCATCCCTAGGGGCCAAGATGATGTCCGCCGCCGCCATTGCCAACGGGGGCGGAGTCGCTGCGGGCAGCCTGGTGGCTACGCTTCAGTCCGTGGGTAAGTGTCCCCAGCTGTGGGGCTTGCTAAGGAGGGTGAGGACAAGAGACTCAGGACCCAGCGCAGATCTTAGCCCCACTGATCCTCAGCCTCTGTTCCTTCGTGTCACCCTCCATGCTCTGTCTGGGTTTCTACCAGGGAGGTATGGGGGGGGCGGGGTAGGAGCCATGACCTGGGTAGTCAGGCTGCCTACCCAGAGTGGGTTTGCTGGCTTACTTGGGGATCTCCGCCTACCTGGGCTCACCCTTCTTCCCTGGAGGGGGATGGCTCCCTATTCTGGGTTTCTCCACGGGAGCGCGTGCCACTGGGCTGCTCGCAGCTGCCCTCCTAAAGCGGAGATCCTGGGGGCTTTGGGAAACAGGAGGGTGCTGGGAGGGGTCTCTGGGCCTCAGACCTTCCTGAGGAGCTCTGGAGTCTTCGACCCCACGGTTTTATCCTACAGAACTGCCCAGGTCTGTCCTTCCCGCTCTCCTCACCCTCTGCTTTTCCCCCAGGAGCGGCTGGACTCTCGCTGTCATCCAAAATCATCCTGGGCTCTGCCGGGTCTGCCCTTGCGACCAGCATGGTCAGCCTGTAGTGCTTTCCCGCCTCTCCCTGCAGAGAAGAGCCCCCGATAGGGCCCCGCCCGCCAGCATGATGCGGGGAGGACCGGGTCCTTGGATGACAACGTGCCTCAAACGCTGCCCCCCACCCCCCAGAGGAAAACAAAGAATAAAAACTAGTCCTTGCATCTCCTCCTGGATCCCATGCCTCTTGCTCGAAGTCAGGGGGTCAGGATCACGCCTCTTTGCCAGACTTGTGCTCATACAGCATCCCGGTGTAGGCGGGCAGTCAGAGGGAATGGGCCCAAATGTGCAGACAGGAGGCTGTGCCTGCCCAGTGTGTGACTCTGCGTTTGACGCTGGGCAGGCCACCTCCTCTAAGGTGCTTGTTTGTCCCTCTTTGCATGGGGGAATTGATCTAAATGACGCCAAAGGTCCCAGCCAGGGGGAGCGTTTGGCTCAGCTCCTGGGCAGAGTCGGGAATAGGGAGAGGGCAGGGTATCCTCTTCGGAGTCACTACCTTAAAGCTTCATCTGCACACTCGCCCCCTCCGCCCCTGCTGCGTGACCAACGGCTTTCCCAAGTGACCTGGCTCAGAAAACACAGGCTCACCAGGCACCGCTCCATCCCAAAGTCAAAGTCCACCGCCTGGCCCTTGCCTATTCTCCTTAACACCTAGCAGGGAAATCTAGTTTGCCAGAGGCTCTGACCTCTCTGCTTCAGGCCCCTGATCCTTAACTGTCCTCTTCCCAGAACAAGGTCCCGTAGAAATTTCTCTTCACTAGGACGCGTTCTAACGCAGGTTATCAGAAAATTTGCCCCAGTGTCGATTCGGTCCTCCTTTCCACAAATGGCGTGAGTTATAAACAACAGAAATTTGTTTCTCAAGGTTCTGGAGGCTGGGAAGTCCGAGTTCAAGGCACTGGCAGATCCAGGTTGCTGCTGAGAAGTTGCTGGCAAGATGGCCGCCTTTTGGCTGCGTCCGCACCTGATGGAAGGGCAAGAGCTCTCGCTGACCTCTTTCATAAGGGCACTAACCCCACCCATGAGGGCTCTACCCTCATGCCTTAGGCACCTCCCAAGGGTCTCCCTCCTACATCACCCTGGGGATTAGGACTGTAACCTGAACGTTGGGTTCAGACCACAGCAGGCAGACTGGGGAAGAGAAGTTTGGGTTCCACCCTGAAGGTTGTGGGGAGACCAGATTTTCAATGTGACACTGGCCCAGTTGTAGACCTACAACCATGTGCGCTCCATCCCAGGAGCGCTGGGAAGTCTCGGTTCCCAGGCAGAACCAAACTTGTGAGTGTAGTGTTACGGACATCTAAAAGGGTTAGACCACTCATCCCTGTCCCCAGGTGGTGGCTGGTTGGGTCCCTGAAGCAGCATTGCTACCTAGCTGGAGGGGATCCACCCCTTAGGGTATTCATTCAATACTTGATTCCTTTTCTTTCTCCTCTTTCTTTGATGCCTTGGAGAGGCTGATAAAGGCTGTGAACCCTCTCCACCCCAACACTCCCCCCCAACAAAATGTACACATTCCTGAAGTAATGCCTCCAATTTCAAGGCCTTCGTTAGAACTTCCAAAGGGCTTTCTTGGTGCTGAAGGTAATTGCCTCTGCTTTCTCTGGAAGGTTGTCTCCACAAGGGCACATGGGTGCGTCTGCCCTGGATCTGGGAGGATGGACAGGATGGCCTCCCTCCCTGCCGAAGCCCAGCACACCGCTAGGAAAGGCCACCCCAGATCCCCCACCTCCGGCCCTCAGGTTTCGCCTCTGTAGAAAGTTGATTTCTAAGCATGGTGCCCAGTGATCCTCACCCTTCTTTTAAAAAATTTTTTCATGTTTATTTATTTTTGAGATTGAGAGAGAGACAGAGAGACAGAGACAGAGAGACAGAGCGTGAGTTGGGGAGGGGCAGAGAGATAGGGAGACACACAACTCAAAGCAAGCTCCAGCTCTGAGCTGTCAGCACAGAGCCTGATGCGGGGCTTGAACCCGTGAGATCTTGACCTGAGCTGAAGTCAGATGCTTAACTGACTAAGCCACCCAGGCTCCCTGACCCTCACCCTTTTATACTCCTCCCGCCTCTAGGGTGTGGTGGGTCATGTGAACATGATAAGATACCACCCCTATAACATGTTAAGTTATATTGTTATACATGAATTTAAATTCACCCCTTCTATCTTAACCCAGAGATTACCTTCTGGGCCTGCACTGAGGGCTACGTGACTATCCTCAGGGGCAAGGGGAAAAAAAATAAGGGGAAGACAAGGGTTAATGTCTTTTGATAATGGCTGTTTATGATACATTATATGATACAGCCCTATACCGGCTTGAACTCATGAACCTCGAGGTTATGACCTGAGCCGAAGTTCGACGCCCAACCAACTGAGCCACCCAGGTGCCCTCTGTCACATGAGCCCTTTAAAAAGCAGAGAATGTTCTCTGCTCTTCCCAGAGGAGGAATCAGAGGTTGGAAGTGGGAAGGGGGTTTGAAGATTCCTACCACGGGGTCCAAATGAAAGCCTAGTCTGGCTGAACACTTGATTTTGCTTTTGCAAAACCCTAAGCACAGAACTCAGTCAAGCCTGCCTGGACTTCTAACCTGCGCTAAAACATAAGAACTGGGTGTTATTTTAAGGGCTGACTTTGTGGTCTTTTGTGAAGCAGGGTTAGAAAAGCGGTAGAGGGGAGACGCCTGGGTGGCTCAGTCAGTTAAGCGACCGACTTCAGCTCAGGTCATAATCTCGTGGTTCGTGGTTTCGAGCCCTTTCCGGCTGTGTGCTGACAGCCAGCTCAGAGCCTGGAGCCTGCTTCAGATTCTGTGTCTCCCTCTCTCTCTGACCCTCCCTTGCTCACGCTGTCTCTCTCAGAAATATATAAAAAAACATTAAAAAAAAAAAAAAAGCAGTTGAGGTCCTGCTACTGCTTCTCCCTTAACCAGGCCGAGGGGTGTTCCCCAGGGAGCTCAATGAACACACACCTGCAGCCCCACGACTCCTGAAATCCCTGGCTTCACTTGGTGCCCAACCCTGGGCCCTGCCTCTGCGGGATTCCAGGGGCCCCCGTCTGCCCGCAGGAGCCCCCGCCCTCAGGGAAAGCCAGGCCCCTCCACTGCTAACCACGTTTCGGCACACGTTCGGGCACACAGAGGCCAGCGAGCTGCAGGTAGGAGGGTAAGGGGGCACAGTCTCACTGTGGGGGTCTAGGACGGCGTCCTGTCTAGATGCACGTCGTCATCAACACGGTAGAGGCGGCTGGGAGTTGCTTTATGTCTACTGCTTCCTTTGGCTTCACGTGCTTTCTGGGCCTGACTTCCGGCTAGGTGCGAGATCCCCAGGGAGCACTGCATTTCCGATCCCTCTTGCTGCGGGGTGTGCTCACTCGACTGGGTTCTTCCGGCCGGTGAAAGAGGAGTAGAACGAAGTATGCAATGCTCTGGGCATGCGCAGTTCAAGGGGAGTCGGTGGACGCGCCTCTGGCCCTGGTCCCTTTCCCGTGACTTCTGCTGCGGGCAGCGGAGAGGCCAACTTGAACCAGCGGATGAGAGCAGCACCTTAAGAAAGGCAGAACAAGACTGTAGGAGCCGCCCCCCCCCCCCCCCCCCCCCCCCCCGCCAGGAGCAGAGCCACCCCCTCCCCCACACCCCAGCTGAGACTCCTGACTAACAAAGACACTTCTCTTGTTCGAGTCAAGAGGGTCTCTTTTACCCCAAGCAGACATTTATTCTCATGAACCCAGTAGGGTGGTTTGATGACCACAGTGGAATCAGTCCATCCAACAGAGGGTTGCATTTTCCTGTTCCATCTCCATACACCACTAAAATAACAGTAACAGACCAAAGAAGCTTAGAACCGCAAGAGCAGAGAGGAGAGGGAAGGGGACAGTAACACGCTATTAGGAGCCAGAAATCACACGGACATGTGGTTCGCCACTTAGCCGTCCCAAAAAGGCAGAATCTTAAGTTGTCAGTGGAGGAGGCGAGAAGGAGGCAGCTCTGCCCTGGACGACCCCCAAGGGCTCAGCTTCTGGAAGGTGGCATTGGCTCTACGTAGAGCAGCACAAATCTGTGGGATGTCTGTTCAGGAATGAGGCAGATCGCCAGAGACCCCGTCCAGCGGTCGACTGGCGCTTGATTTGGGGCAAGGCTGGGTCTCTGGGATGAGGGGCACCAGGTACCGCTGAGAGCAGGCCCTTCGTGCTAGAACTGGGTTCTCATACAAGCGTTGAGACCCTCGACCTTCATTGCTAGGTACCCAGAATGCTGTGGCCCAGAATAAAGGGAGGAAGCTTCTTCTCGGGAATCTTACCAGCCCAAGAAAAGAAATGCTCTCATTCTGGCACGGGGGAGGGGGGGGTGTGTGGTCATCGAAAGGCTCTGCCAGATCACAGTATGGTCCCCGAGTGGGCAAGAGTCACCCCTGAGGCAGAGCCTGACGTCAGACATCTATGAAGGCTCAGACACGAAAAAGAAGCAGTGTTTCTGGCCCTCTCTATCCTTTCGCCCCCAGCCCTGAGATACTCACCTTCTGCCCGAAATGCAGTTTCATCACTGGCTTTCCCACCTGAGAGGAGAGGGATCACGGGGGACCACAGTGGCTGGTCTGAGAGTGTGGAAAGCGGTGGCTACAGAGAGGGATCCTGAGGCGAGGGGGGATTGCAGTCGGCCCAGGAGGGATGCGGATGGAAGTGCTATGACTCCCATTAGCACCCAGTCTGGGGGAGAGAAGAAGGGGAGCCCTGTGCCATCTCCCTGAGTCCCCACAGTGACTTCTGAGACACCTGTAAGGCGCCCTGGATACTCCCAGGGCAACTTAAAAGTGCTGGAACAGAAAGGTCAAGACAAATAACATGAAAAACACATGTACTATGGGGCGCCTGGGTGGCTCAGTCAGTTAACTGTCCATCTTTCAGCTCATGTCATGATCTTCCTGTCTGTGAGTTCGAGCCCCGCGTCGTGCTCTGTGCCGACAGCTCAGAGCCTGGAGCCAGCTTTGGATTCTGTGGCTCCCTCTCTCTCTGCCCTTCCCCTGCTTCCTCTCTCTCCCACTCTCTCATTCTCACTCAAAAATAAATAAACATTAGGAAAAAAATTTAAAAACCCCAAATCTACTATGGCGTGCTGTCAGAGTCACGCTCCAGCCACTCCAGGGGTCCCTGAAGGATGGACGGTGTCGGCGAGAGAGAGAG